CAGACTCACAGTAAAACATCACGCCAGCGTTACAAGGTACAAAATCCACAGCAGGATAAAATCAAAGTTTCTTTATAGGCTGCTCAGCAGAGGATCATTTAAACATGCATGCGATTGGTCTGAATTTGCCCACAAATATGTGATAAACAGAAGGAAAACACATATAGTCTTTTCATTTAAATATATATGTTTAAATTAATAAAAAATGAAGTCTTATTCTATGCCAGCTTCTAGCTTTGCCTGAAACACTCCTAGAAAGCTTAAAAGTCAACCAAACACGTGCAAAGTTTCACGTCTTTGACCAACAACAGCTGTAAAACTGTGGTTATTACAGGAAACTTCTCTGCATGCTTTACCTCATGCATCGGTTTGTTGTGAGCAACACAAATGTTAACAGAGATTTTCCTGGAGCACACTGAGCAGCACACTGCTGTCTTTAACAGTCTTTTTACTTTTCTTTCCTTGTTTGCACGACGATTTCTCCAAAACGTGATGATTGACAGAATGATGTCATTAAGATTCATCGAGTGTGTTTAGTTTTGATCTTCATGAATCCCACGCGAGCCTCATCCTGTGCCCTCATAGGTTGAGGCTTAACTCCTAATCTCTGCAGATATAACAGAAGTACTGGACTTAAGCTTAGGTAGAGAAGAATGGACAATAAGACAAAGAGTCCAAGTTTAGTAACAATAGTTCATGTAAATATGGTATATATATGATCTGGAATCATGTGGTCAAATAGGAGCATTGTGACAAAGTTGGGATTGTGTGCTGGTCTCAGGAAAGTGTCAGAGTTTAAGTGGAGTAGTGGTATATGCTCCATAGAAATAATAAACTTGTTGATGTAGAAAATTTATAAAGATTTTTATTTTCAGTTCTAATTTTCTGCCAGTGTGTTTTAAATAGCAGGAACTGCAACTGCTAGAAGAGACCAGGCTGATTTATCTTCAGGAAGTATTCAGTCAATAAAACGTCTCTTTGATCTGGACAAAAACAACTATATATCTCTGTCATTTGGCCATGGGACATGTTTTGCACAGTAGTACACAGAACCAGTTACAGGGCACATGGAAAATCAGAGCTACCGGCAGATTCCCTCGTCTCCGGTGTCTGAGGAAAAAAACGGCCTACAGTTTGTACCAGCTTGTCACACTTCCGCTTGTTTAGAGGCCGAACCACATTTTAGCAAACCCAAGAAGTGTGCGGTTGGATGGAGGGAGGTACAGTGCCAGGGGTCCCTCTTTGGATGTGGGCGGGTGCACCCTCATATGAAGAAACCAACAGCCATTGCATCCTATCCATCTCCTAAAGCCAAAAACTTCGCAGCACTTACCAGCCCCTTGACTGCCCTCAGCTGAAATGGTGCCGCAGATCTGGTCCGGTGGACAGAGCAG